ATAATAATAGTATATCACTAGACTTCTATATTTTTTTCAACTTCATTCATTTAATCCAAGTTTCAGTAACTCTCATCAGGAGTCTAATTAATTGTACTACGGGTGATAATCCTTTTTCGCATCAGGATGTACAAATAGAAACATGTATTAGATGACCGGAGTTAAAATTCAGCTTTCACGATGGATAGTTAAAAATAGAAGCGGACGTATTGATTAAGTAAATCAAATATAAAAATAGTAGCAGACAAAAATAAATCTCATAATTCCCATTGGATTCTCCGCTTCGCTCCAGATAGTCGTGCTAATCCAGCTTTACGTTGACCATTTTTATAGTTGCATTGAAATTTTGGTCCACCCTATTTCTCCGAAATAAGCATCCCTTGTTCACACTATGCCAACTTTAGCCCGCTTCACAATAATTGTGGCCAGCATTGCGTGCAAAAAAGGTGCTTATTTTTGAAAGAATACGAAATTTAAAAATTTTAGGGCTTTTTGTGTAGTGATAGGCTAGGTGTTAGTTTTATTAATAGAATATATGCGAATTATAAGACATTATAGTTAGGGGGTTGGACCCATGTTGAAGTTATTATTAGAGATTTGGTCCAACTTGAAAAAATTTGCTAATTAATAATTAGTAAACAAAACTTAGCCAATCGTTATTATCGCCTAGACCTCACTCATAATCATATACCCGGATAACCCGGGTAACACGGGTAATCTAGGTATTTTAATAATAATACCCGGATGAATATTGCTTTAACGGGTCCAATTACTATATTATGGATTTATTTAGGAACCCGAAGATCAAATATAGTATAAAATATGCCAATGATAAAAATTGATTATTAATCAACTGATATAGAGTAGGTGTCTCTTATATTATATTTGATCCAGGACCCAAAAGTTCAGCAACGGTCAATTTTAGCATAAGAAGCTACGATTATAACAACAGCCTTGTAAATTGATTTTTATTGTGCAATATAATATAGGGTTCCTGCGCGTAATTATGCGCAAAATTCGCAGAAATCTTATGCATAATCATTTATCAAAAGTTTGAATCTATTTTATTCGGGTTATTTTTTTATTATTTTTATCCTCCTTTTCATTTTAACACCACTTTAGGATTGTGCAGGCTTGCGCATTCTGCATAGATTGCATAAAAAAATTGAAACAGACGAACTTTCCATCAAATACAATTATAATGTTCACGTGATGTATATGCGGATTATTTTATGGGAAACCTTTTGATTAACACTTTTTGACAATTTCAGAATTTGCCGAAAGTGTTTCATGCATTAAGTCCAAATTAAAAACGCATGAAACCATTGTATTATCTAAAATGCTATTTTAGTAGTACAATGATATATATATCTAAATTACCGGTATTTTTTAATTACCTTTTAAGTGTACACAATATTTTAGCCTAGGCAAAAACCTTGTAATACAAGAAATTAGCCAATTATGCATACTATTAATGTTATTAGGAGTTTTTTTTAAACATATATGTCGTAAGGATGATGCAGGATGGTAATGAACGATAATTTTAAATTAATCCTCTTACATATTAAATATATTATATACATAAGCTTCATTATTATGATCACAATTAATTTTTGAAACAAATAAAATTACCTGAATACTAAAATTCTGGGTATACAAAACTCATACAATTAACATATAACAAAGAGTTTTGGTCCTTAGAATTACATTATCTATCGTTTGTAAAATAATGATTTACTGAATAGAGAACGTTTGAATGCTAAAAATTTTTCCACCTTCCCTAAATGTATAAATTTATTATTATCATATGCTTAATAAAAGTGTTGGTCATTTATAATAAATATGTTCACAAACAAATTTTTCTTTTTATGGAATTTTCTACAGAAATTCACTTTTAAGAAATTAATAATATCAGTGGTATAACGTAATGAAATTTAGAGTTTGCTTTGAAATTTTTTTTCTATTTCGATTTTTGATTTTTTAAGAAGATGTTTGTACATCATATATGAATCGCCTCTTGACTTTATCGATTTCGAGTTTAGATACTGCAATATATTTTTAGTCACAAAGAAATGCACCCTTTTTAGTCGAACTTCAGGATAATAGCTTGCGAGTGTCTTGCTAATGCATTAGTTAGAAAATCTAGTATTATTCTCGATTATAAATAAATAAACAAGCAAATAAGCTTCTGAAAAGAAAAGGTTCACTTCTCCATAGAAAGTTTATAACAAAAACAATTAATTTTAACAATGAGAAGATAAACACAATGGGCATCATTCAGGGATTATATTTAAAATTTGGAAGACATGATTTTTTTTTTAATTGTACGCGTAACTAGATGGTCAGATTCTCGAAATTAAATACTTATAAAGGGTTATTTTCGTTAGAGTTGACAAATAAAGAAATGACTTGAAAAAAAACATTCTATAAATAAAAAAAATTCTTTGGGAATATTCTTCTCATCATTGAATAGCAATTATGTAATAAACAATATCACGTGAAGATCGAGACTCTTTATTCTAGATCCGCATTTATCAAGTAGCCATAAACGTTCTTTGTAATTCTTACAAAGTTGGACACATATTATGAGCTGTTTCCGTCTTGGATTTCTTTGTAGAGTTCTATTTCCATACAATATAAGTAAATAATGGAATATAAACTCCATATAGATATTAGATAATGGATGATCTTCAAAACATTTGCGTTGTACATTTTGGACATTTTTGGTGGTCACATGTAATTTTCCCGACAATCTTAATTCGCTTTAATTCCATCATCACGTGACTCTTATCGCTTAAAGATATCAAATCGTATTAGTATAAAGACCGGGTGATTTAATAATTAAAGATCTATTTTTAGACAAATGATGAAGGAAAAGGTTTACGTCCGGACCCTTTCGATGGAGTTGTTAGTTCTATTTTTAGCAAAAGGAATTGATCCTTCATGTTTATTTGTTGATAAGTTGTTTCTACTAGATCTATGTGGCTTACTTGCTAAAAACATAATCTTACAGAATTCTATTTACTTTAATTGTTTATGTGAGTACTATATACTCGTGTGACTGAACCTCTATGCCCATGCGCATATAAGTATGTTATACAATTTATTATAATTTAAAGGTAAAAAATATATATATATATAAACACATTGAACTCATTCTGCCAGAAAATTAGCATAATTAAATTCTGTGTTCTTTATCAATACATTAGCCCTTTAAGTATTAACTTTAAAAACGCGAGTATTTATCAAAGGTAAAATGAGCGGAAACAAGTCATCATCTACTCGAAATGCTCGACCAATGCGTGAAATTCCTAAAGAGCTAGATTTGAATAATATTTACAACCCAAAATACCATATCACTGAGCTTATTTCAACAAAGAAACGAAGTCTCGAAAGTACACATGTACCAAGACCTCCTAATGGGTTCTTCCTCATGAAGAACTGTTATATGTTAGAATTGAGGAAACTTGGGTATAGGTTTACCATGCCAGAGATTTGCCGCCATTCTAAGAAAATTTGGGCGACACTTCCACAACATGCGAAAAAAACCTATGAGGTAAAATTTCTTTTAAATCTATATATATATAATATATATTTAATAGTCTATTTGATTATGCCAAGCAACTTATATTATTTTGTAATTTCTTATCTTAATGGAATAGAGTTTATCTTTCCAAAGTCAATGTGTTCACAATGAACGCTATCCAAATTTCAAATTTTCTCCGAAGAAACGGAACAATAATTTTAAACAATACTTACCCAAACCTAAAATTGAAGATCTTGCATTTACATCGGCTTTTAGTACAACTAACTTCCTTGGCACCAGCGATTTTGCTTCAGATAAAGATTCGTATTTAGAAAATTCCCCACTGTCGTCTGAGTCTGAGGTTTCATCATTCAGTTCCAGCCCCACAAATTCTTTAGATTTATCTGCATTTCTGAGCCCTCCTTTAGAGGAATTGCCTTCCTTAGAACAATTCTCTTCAGGATTATCTTCAGAATTTTCAACATCACTACCTTCATCATTGTCAACATCATTGTCGACACCATTATCAACATCATTGTCAACATCATTTGAATCACAACCAGGATTGATAGAATTGGGCCTTTTTGATTTCTTTTCAGAGAGTCCAGAAGGGGCACAAGATTTTCATTGGCCAATTCTTTGGAATTCAGACCTGGATTTTTTAAATACTCAAAATAACCAAAATTACATTTCAACTGATAATAGTTGCTATGTATATGATAATTGTTTTCCATTTATGACCAATGAAGAAAACGGTCTACAAATTCAATTTTTCAGTCAATAAGGCTTTGGGTCAGATACAATTTCAAACAATCCATTATATAGTCACGTGAATAGATGTTATTTCTCTTTAATTTCCTTCATATATACTGTATATTTAGAAATCTTGTGAACTTTTTTTTTTCTTGTTTATGCTTCTTTTTTTCCTCGCTTTTTTTCTGCATATTTTTTCTTTTCTTTTTTTTCTTTGGCACATAATTAGATATGCAGGTGAAATTAACTAAATTAAATTCACCATTTTCACCAATAACAGTGAAACTAATTTAATTCTTTAATTTCACTAGCACCTCTACTCGTAATGTAACATATTTTAACATTTTTTTGTTTAACATTTTTGTAAATTATTATAAACATGCTTGGCGCAATTGAGAGTACTTCCTAAATGCGTCATCTATTGATAGAATTGAATTACGAATCAGATTTCAAGATTAGATGAAACGTAACACGATCAGGAAGATCAAAAAACAAGCGTACAAGAAGTTTTCGTTGAACAATTTTTACTATATGAACCATCCCCTCTTACAAATTTTAAGAATTTAGTCTTTGTCACCAACCTTGTACACATTTACAATATGTGATAGAATTGTAAAACTGATATTGTATGTACGTACTATAATTCTATTACAATGTTAATTATTATGATAGCGATAATCATTTTAGAATTTTCTTTAGTATTGTAGCAGTAACGTTGATTATTAGTAATCATAAAAATATTTGGCTCCTTTGTTTATACACATACACAAAATATTTGAAAATTCTGCATATGAAGATTTAACAAGAGCAAATATATATGTAATACATTTGAATGTGTATATGATAATAATGTATGGAAAGAAATCTCCGTGTAGTATATGTAAACCATATATTTTTTTATTTTACTGTCAGATTATATAATAAAGGTTATTCACACATACTATATATCACGATATTTTATTTTTATTTTTATTTTAAAGCGTCCTTAAAATAGACCAGGATTTAGATTCCTTACTCTAAACCTTCTATATAAATAAAAATTTAAAATAGTGATCATCAATTGGGCTAATCAAGGATATAAAATAGTGGTACAATAATATTTATATAGAAAATGAAAATATGCTACTAATAAAAAAATTTTATAATATAAAGAACAGATTTCTCTTTTTATTATAATAAAATTTTAGTTGATAAAACATTTTAAAAAAAACTATACTTCTATATGTTGTAAAGTCTTCTTTGGTTGGCTCGAATTTGCACCAATTGATTAATTTGATTGGTTGATATCATATGATCATTATATGATTTTTGTAAACAACTTTTAATATCTAAAATTTAAAAATCCATATTTTGATAAATATTTAACTAATTTTAATATTATTAGGATCAGAAAAACCTATTCTATAATTTTAATTAATAGTCTGAAAATGATTTGCTTAATAAAATTTTATAAAATTTTGAAAATACTATGAGTTTTATATATAATTTACAATTTATATTCCTACCTTTTTTAAATTGTTTTCTTGAACAAACACATTAGAAAAAAAATGAAGTAGATCGAATTGAGGCCTTGTATATATGTTATGCAAACTGAATATGTCTATATATTTATGTAATTAGAATATTTGAAATCCAGATATTTATTATTATTAATTCTATAGCTATAATATATTGACGTCTCTAATATTACTATCTAATACAATCATAATACCTTATTTGGATAAAAGATGTGATAAATTTATTAATCTATCTTATTATCTAAGAATATTATAGATTTAATATTATTAAAAATCCTTATTATTTTACTCTGATATAAGATCAATATTTTTATCCAATATGGTACATTTGTCTATTTTTAACAAAAAAAAATACTGTGTAGATAATTAGGAAATTTGAATAATTAAAAAATTTCTACTGTAATCAATAGAAAAACTCTAATTTTTTTCAAGTTCTGACTAGACCTATAAATAACAATCTTTAATTGAACAAAGTAGGTTATACCATTCTTCACCTACTGATTAAATTACCAGATCTGTGTAATATAAATTATCCAAAATTTTTATAAAGGTTCTAGCTATACAGAAATCCTGAAACTACATAGTAAGTATGTAGTAATTTTTTTTTTGATGTTAAGGTGAGACCTTGCTCATATCTTTATTGGTAGTTTTTAAAGTTAGTAACTTCATAGAATTACTATATACAAAAATAATTCTATATAAATGCTATAGTTGAGATCAACACTTAGAGTTAATCATTAAATTGCTAATTATATATAACTAAATTAAGTACAAACAAGAAGAAAACTACATTCAAGAGTAAAGCTCAGATATATTTATCTGTGATCTAAATCTACTAGAGAGGTTAAGACATATCTAGATTTGAATACTTAAAATATAATTAAATAAGATATTGTATTTGATCCATAGAATAGTTCATATATTGATTTTTCTAATAGCATGATCGAAAGGTAGACATATATTAGAGTTTAAGTGTACATAGTTAGGTAGTTCACATATACATTAATATGTATATATTTGGTAGTTGTATTTAGTTTGTCTATTATGATTAGTTTGAGTTAAGTGTTTAGAGAAAGGAGATTTGAGAACTTGTTGTTTTTTCTAATTTGAAAAGTTTATACAATATGGTTTTTAGAGTAGTTTGTAGCATAGCTTATTAATTTTAAGTAGTATTTTAATAGTTATTTGTAATGTTAATTTGTAAGAAATATTAAAGTTTTAAATTGTTTAAATTAAAGATTTTGGTATGAGTTCTTTAAGGATAATATAAATATAAAATAAGTTTTCATTGAATAGTATCTGATAAAAGGTTTTATAGTTTTGAATTTTTTGAATAAGTTTTTCTTATTGGAGTTTAGAAAGGTCAAGATTGCTTTGGTTAATATGTTTGAAAATAGTATTTTGAATAATACTAGTAAGTAGTGTTGGGTTAGAACATATTTGCCAATATGTTAAAGAGTTAGATAAGTTGCAATAAAAGCAGTTTGTATTATAGAAAATGTATAGTATATTTTATAATATAGGAAGTATGTATATAGTTTGTTTAGTAAAATTTTAATTTTAAAGGATTTGAGATGATTAAGTTTGAAGTTGGTTATATTATGTGTAGGTTTTTGGTTATAATTAAAGTATAGCCAAGTGGATTTCTAATTTATTTTTGAAATAAGTTAATTTCATTCTTAGTTCTGTTTTTGAGATAACCACATTGCCAAAATATAGGCTTTGCAAATATTTTTGATAAATGTTCTTGTAGAGTATTCTATAAAATGTTGGTTCCAGAATAGCATATAGTATGGGTTGTAGATATTAGTATATTTAAAATATAAATCAGGAGAGAGATTATATTGTTTAGTGAGAGAGTTAGCAAGATTGTTTAGATTATTATCAGTATGAGCTTGCATTTTATAAAAATAGATTTAAAGATTATAAGATTTAATAATATTTAATAAGATATACCATATAGGCTATGTATTGAATTTAAAAAGTTTATTAGAATTAGAAAGTATAGTATAGATGTTAGTATATTTAGTAATAATAGATTAAAAATCTGTAAAGATGTTAACTATTGCATTTCAGAATATAGTAGAAATAGCTGAAAGAATAGTCATCAGTTCTGCTTTGTAGAATAATGGCCAGAAGTTAATTTTAGCAAAAAATTTGTGAATAATTTAGTTATTTTTATTGACCTAAACCCAACCAATGTCTATTGTACATTGGTCAGTTCTGATATTAATTACTGAGCCATTAGTATAAAAGTTAAGTTGTTGTTAAAAGCTATTAAGAATTGAGTATTGTTCAAGTATATTTGCTGCTTTACTAGTTTTGAATATTTCAAAAACATAAAAGTTAGAAATTGGGATTGTTAGCATTGGAGGAATTAATAATGAGTATTTAATGACTGTTAAATAAATAAGATCAATATAGATAGAATTAAAGTTTAAAGAGTTAGAATTAACTTTTCCTAAAAATTGGAAAGAGATAATTACAGATACATTAATTGTACATAAATTCTGAATTCTGTTAAAGTTTAAGTAACAGTCTAAGCAAGATAAGCATTAGGTTGGTAAGAGAGAATAGTAGTTAGAGTGATTTATGTCAATTTTTGTTTGCCAGTATGTGATAGATATTTGTTAGTGTTTTTGAAATGTCTGTGAATTTTGCTGATGATAATCTTATTATTAGTATATGTAAGTAACTAGGGTTTAGATTTTTTAGAAATATATTATAAGCTGTATGCAAATAAGTTATATACTGGTTGTTGGTAGTGTGAAAAAAGAATTCTGAAACTATTTTAGACTATTATAGTGTCTTCCAAATAAGTGAACTATAATAGTTTTTAACCTTTAGATAAGTATGACAGTTGTAGTAAAAGATATTTCTATTTTAGTAAAGTAGTGTTATTAGCTATACAAAGCTGTTCAATATATAGAATGTTAAGATTTTTGATTTGTTTTTTGAAGCTAATATATTGAGTATATTGGGATAAAATTAATTGAAAATTGTATGATATTATGTTTAGCTATAAAATATTAGGATTAGCTGTTATTGATATGTTTAAGTGTATCAGTAATTAGATAATTTTGAAATTTAAAGTATATTTGTTTGGGTTATTGATAATGGGATTAAGGTGTTAAAGTATATTAATAGTTGATTATAGTTTGTTTTGAAGCTGTTGTATCTGATCTATGTTGAAGTTTCTAGTAAGTAAGAATTGTTAAGTCATAGTAAAAAGTTAGTAATATGATGTTAAAGTGAATATCCTATATGTTATAAACATTATACAAGTAAGGGTTAAGCATAGTACTATTAAGGATTGAATGTGCTAGATGAAATTTGCATTTGGCTATTGTTAAGTATTTAGTAAGAATGTTGTTGCATATGGAGTAAGGTATAATAATATTGTGTAATTTATATTTAAGTATAGATATAATAACTGTATCGATTATATAGATAATTTATTTATCTATAATTTTCTTTGTACTAGCAATATTTGTAAGTTGAAGTGTTTTTTCTT